AACCTGGGAAGGGCTAGCCTCCAACTAGTTCGAATTAAGTGGCTACACAACCCTTAATTCGAACTAGGCGTTAGTCCTCGTAGAATGAGGTTTACCAAGTTCGAATTAAGCGCTCCGCTAGTTCGAATTAACTTTGATAGGCACTACACATGCAAACCGCTAGTTCGAACTTAATTCGAACTAGCGGTTTGCATGTGTAGTGCCTATCAAAGTTAATTCGAACTAACGGCTGTTAGTTCGAATTAACTTTGTAGTGTAGACATACCCTGAGCGTTGGAGAACCCATGCTGGCGTTCCAGCCCCTCTGCTGGGACTGGAGCACACAAAATCTTCTAGCCATTAGGCCCCCCAGGCTCTGGTGTGTGAGGGGAATGTGGGGAGCCTCTTTCTCCTTCTCAGTTGGGGGCCACATCAGTGGCACTTCCTTAAAAAAATGTCATGTCACTACCACCCATGTCTCTTGAGAATGCAGTGTCTGATGCTTGCAGGGCTTTTATGAAGGAGTAAGTGCTATGATGACATTGGTTATGATACAAGTCACTAAAACTTGGTGTTGAGGTCTGCACTAACAAAGAAGGTTTAAAAAGTTTTGTGCAACAAAAGCTAGAGTACACGTAGTTATCAAAAAGCCCTTGCTTAGTTAAAGTTCCTACCCTTTTTCTCCTCCAAATGTGCTTTTAAGCAAACTGATTTCATTTTGCAGGGAAAGATTTTTCTCCTCAACAGCCTCCAATGCTTTCGTCTTGGCTAGAAGAAGATCTTGTAATGCCTGAGAAAGAAAACGCATGGAATCAGGTTATGAACATACTTGAAGCTAGTGATTCTGTTATTTAGATATACTAGGAGTCAGGGCAGGGGGTGAGGAGGGGCTCAGGACAGGAAGAGGGGTTCAGGAATTAGGCCAGGGACTGGAAAGAAGGGGAGCTCAAGGGAGGAGGAGAAGACTCAGGGCAGGGGGTGTGGGTGACTGCTGACTTCTCCCCAGGGGTGGCCCAGAGTAGCAGGGGGGCACCCCACCTACTGGCATGTCCCTGGGATGGAGGGGGTAGCTGTGCACTCTGCCCTGCAGCTTCTCCCTGGGCTGGCCAGGGATGGTGGGGGGGACTGTGCACCCTGCCCACTGGCAAGGATGGGGCAGGGAAGGCTGCGTAAGGTTAAGGTTAGGATTAGGGTGGGGGAGGCCGCATAAGGTACCCAGGGTGGGGGGAGCAGGAGGACTGTACAGGCTGGATGAAGGGAGGGTGCACTGGGAAGCCTGTCGGTGCTGGGTGAGTAGCAGGCTATGCCTCCTCCTGGTGATGGTGGGACTCTCTCCCACATCTGGCGGGGCCTTTTCTACCTCTGTCCACCTTCTCTCCCCACAACTGGCGGGGATTTCTCTCCCCCCATCCAATTGGGGCCTTCTCTCCCCCCGTCCACCTTCTCCTCCCCCAATCTGGTGGGACTTTCTCCACCCGTTCCCCATCCAGTGCGGCCTTTTCTCCCCTATCTGTTCAGTGGGGCCTTTTCTCCCTCCCTCTGTCCATTGGGGCCTTTTATCTCACCCACTTTTGGTAGGGCCCCGCCAGAGGGGTGGGGTGGGGTATAAAATGCCCCACTGAATGAGGGGTGGAGAAAAGGCTCCTCCAGACAGGAAGGGGGAGAACAGGTCCTGCTGGACAGGGGAAGGAAAAAAGGCCACACTGGACAAGGGGAGAGGAGAAAAGGCCCTGAGAGATGGAGGACAAGAAAGGGCCCTGCTTAACAGAGGAAGAGGAAAAGGCCCCTCTGGATGAAGGGAGGGAGAAAAAGCCCTGCCAAACCAGGGGGAAGGGAGGGCTTGGAGGGAGAAAAGTCCCTACCAGATGTGGGGAGAAAAAGCCCTGCTGGATGGGAAGACGAGAAAGTCCCACCAGATGGCAGGGAGAAGGCGGACGGAGGGAGAAAAGGCCTCACCTCCCTCCGTTTTGCAGGGCCTTTTTCCCTGCTCTATCCAGCAGCGCCTTTTCTGGTCCAGTGGCTGACAAGATGGCAAGCCCCAGCTGACCTCATTCTTGGTAGTGCAGCTGTCCCCCCGTTGGTCACTCTGCAGTATAGCATCCCCCTAAACAGCTCCCTCCCTTTCCATCTTATGGAAAACAATCCCACTCAAGGCACTTCCCATTTTCCTGACAATCAAAACTCTGATCTTGCTTTAAGTTGGAGAGGAGGAAGGTGCATACCAGATTTGGAGGAGCTGTTGAACAAACGGACTCACAGACAGACAGAACCACATTTCTAAGATAGATAGCCTTTGCATGAAATCATAAATATCTTAAATGTATCACAATACAATGATATGATCCTTATATTTAATCGTACAATTCAAAGGATCCCCAAATATTTTACAAACATAGCAATCTGATTTACATTTATACATTGTACACAAAGAAGAAGTTGTGGCATTTCATTTATTTATTAAGTCTTAAATTCAGCCATTTGCACGTTGTTTCTAAGGCTTTAGAGTTCTTTCCTTGATTCTATTTAACTTTGCATTTCAAGTAGTGGCTGGATCATTTTATAATAAAAAATAACAGCTGTCATTAAACGTGATGCAAGAAAGGAAAAAGTATCATGTTTCCGAGGATAAGCTGATTGCATCAGCAGCCAGGAAGGAAGTTCTTATCCACACACATGCATACAATGTTAGCTGTATTAAAAATCTTACCAAAATAAAACACAAGACTGCACGTACAATATGCCCCATGGGGAGAGGTTAAGAGAACAAACTACAGGGGACAAAGATTAGTTACATCATCTATGCCCTACTGGAAAATACTCATATGACAGTGATGTGCAAGAACTAGAATAGAATAGAATAGAATAGAATAGAATAGAATAGAATAGAATAGGGATGCACACCACATGCACAATTTGATAAATGCATTCTAAAAGGTCACTAAATTCTGTGTTGGCCACTTCTGGAGAAGGCCATGGATAATGTATTTTTCTGGGTACTGCAAATTTGGTTTTTCACTGGAAACAAATTGAGCCAGGTGTGCTTAGAGTATTCTGCATCCCCTGAACAGATGTAGGAGCATTGTGCTTCCACTGCATGGTAGGAAGCACTGGGAGCACACTGTGAATATGCCATTTCTATCACAGGCTGGTGTCTATCAAGCACAACTGACTCTTGTGGTAGCATGTGTCATCCTGAAAATAGAACATTCACCACATTTTGACCTATGGTAGTGGTCATTGGGAGCCAAAATGTATCAAGAGTTACCAGGAAGCTCCCTGTGAATGCAGTGGCAAGGAAGTGAGGGGAAGCACTGAGACACAATAGGGAAGAGGGGGAAGCGAACTGAGGAAACTGACCTGGGAAGAAAAGTCCCACTTTTTCCAACAACTCCTGGGCCCATTCCAGCCCCTCTGGCTCTCACTTCCTGGTCCCCGGGTCCTGTAGTGGCCCCTCAAATCCCTCTGAATCCTCTCTCACCTCCACTGCCATCCCAAGGTATATGCAAGTATACACAGAGGCACTAGCCCCCCTTTTCTCTGAAATACAGCAGAGTGCGTACCATGACTATCGCTAGTGACTACTCTTGATAGAGGATAATGGTCTACTATTGCCTTACACTAATGGAGTCACTTCCTTTAGTTTTTTCATTGCCTAAGGGTTTTTCCACCACTCCTTCCTCAACAGGATGACAGCATGTCTGCCAAAAAAACCTATCCTTAAACTGCTGCCACCAGGGCACATTCCTCTTTTTGTAGGAGTTGTGGGCCACAGCTGGCTCAGTTTTCAAGGTGTAACACGTAAGCCCTGTTGATAATATTCACTATTTCAAGACTCTATGGAACTTTCAGACCAGCTTTGCACCACCGGTGGTTGGCTTTCACAGGACTATTAATATTGGAAATGCCACTGTGTTTACAAGCATTGCTCATAGAACTACATGATGTGGCTCATAGAGATATTAACCTATTCAAAAGACTATGGAGTGGTCTGTCTGAAATCTATGCGATTGCAACAGGCGTTGCAGAGCTGAAATTCTGCTCATTTACCTCAAGAACTCCACAAACCTCTTGAGTGATTTGGGGAAACTGCAGAATTCATGACATTTGGAAGCCTGACATTGGATTCTGGACCAAACCTGTTGATGGCTGTGCATTATTTCTTCAAGGGCCACTACTTTCTTACTCACGCGATGGGTTCCAAATTACTGGGTTACCCAACAGAACCCCATTTTCCACTCTTGAAAATACTGCACTGATTTTTGAATGGTGCCTCTTCACAGTGCTTAATCCAGGAATTAAAGAGTTAATTATTTGACTATGTCTATCTGTGGATTAAACTGGAGTTCATGAAAACTGCTGAAAACTTGGATGTAATTTTACAGAAACATCAGCATAAAAGATGAGAGACCCACTTCAGTTAGATAACTTCCATTTTGTTCCTTCGCTGCTAAAAATACTGGCCCAGATCCTGGGCAAAGGTGGCTTAATGACACCTTTAACCCCACCCGTCCTATCCCCACTCCTTCTGAGTTGCACACTGAAGTCCTTAGCTGAGGAGCTAGATGATTCTCCCTATTGATGAAGCCCATCCTGTAAAAAAAAAAAAAAAAAAAAATCCCATTTTTGTTTCATTATAGCAAACCTATCAAGGGAAAAATAATAATTTCATCTCCAGGCCTTTAATTAAAGAGGCATAGATAGATCCATGTTGCTTGTTTCCCCATGAACTTTAATTAACCTTAAAGCTTCATCAAATTTTTAATATGAGAATTATTACCAGACAGAACAAAGTGTTTGATACTTACACAAATTTGAAATTCAAATGTAATCTAGTGTGAAATGAATGGGAAAGTAAAAATAAAGTAATTTCTTCATGCATTCATTCCAAATAATAATTTGTTTGAAGACAGGAATTTAATGTATATATTTTCAAACTATTATTTATTAATAATTTATCATATTGACCTCAGGAGAGAAATAGCAACACTAACACACATGCATGCACACACACACACAATATGTACACACTTTTATTTAGGGTGCAGCTGAAGTTAATTGAATTATTTATACAGGGCTCTTCAGCTGAACTCTCCAGACAGACTACCAATCATTCATCTGCATGGTAAATATCCATAGGATTTTCAGCTAGAAGTCTACTAAATCAGCTGACTGCTCATTGCAGCTGATCACTTCCATTGCCCGACCTATGGTTGACTATATATTCCAGATAATTAATCCCTTTGATCAATCTCTTGATACAAAAATTCAGTATTTCAATAGCCAGTAGTATTCACATCTAGCTGAACTCTAATTGAGAACTTGGTTGAGCACACAACAAATTTTTTTCCATGTGCATATGGAGATCATTTGTAGAGGAGAAATTTTAAATAGAGACTACCTCTACACTACACGCTAATTTCAAAATAAGCTATTCCTGAATAGTTATTCTGAAATAGCTTATTTCACAATAGAACATCCAGACTGCAGGGAAGCCTCAAAATTAGTCCAAGGAAGGCTTCCCTAATGTAGACATACTATCTCGATTTAAAACCCCACGAGGCACTGGGGAGGGGCTATTTCAAAATAGCAGCAGCGGAGCATCTACACACACCTTATTTCAAAATAGCTATTTTGGAATAGGCATTATTCCTCATAGAATGAGGTTTACAGATTTCAGAATAAGCCCTCCATTATTTTGAAGTTATTTCGAAATAATGGAATGGCTGTGTAGACGTTCGCATTATTTTGAAATAACGCTAGTTTTCTCAAAATAATGGTGCAATGTAGATG